ATATATGGACAGAAACTTTACCCGCCATACCAGCCATTGCGGGGAAACAAGGTCAAATGTAGCTTACCATTGAATGAGGAGAGCATTTCTTCAGCTTTTTACGTCAAAAGTGGTTGCTAAGAAGTTTTGCTGGAGTAACATGTGCATGTGCACGAGATATAACGTTATGATTATCATATCTATTAGGGGAAAACACATATTGTGCATTACTATACGAATCAGTTATTTTCGAATATAATGGTTCAGATCAATTTCAATCGTTGTAATGTGAATTGTATACATTATTATACAATTTTTTATATTTAATGTAAATGCACAAAAAAATTTTAATACATTAACTGGAAATGTTGTGATTTACATTTATTTACATTTACATATTGAACAACTGTAATGTACAATATTGGGCTTTTCGGGTATAGTATTATATCAGTTTGAATGTAGGGTAATAACATTTTTTAAATAACAGTACATATATATATCTATAATACAGGCATACATTTTATTCACATCTCACTTTTATTATCTGTGTGTTGTTGTTGTCTCAGTGTACTGGAAGTTTGTGACACTATAACAAATTCCTTGTATGTGCAAACATACTTGGCAATAAAGCTCTTTCTGATTCTGATTAATGTATTTATTTACGTGCACACTTCAGGATATAAAGTGGGTCATAAGCACCCAACAAAAGCCGGACACAAAATCTCTGGGGTCGAATCTAAATTGCCATCTAATAAACACCACAGCGCTGTGCTTTGACCGAAATATCAGTGAGCGGCCAGCAGCATTTGATCTTTTGTAAATAGCATTTGAATACGCAGTCCTGTGCCTTTAGAGCAGATAGTGCACTGCTCATGTTGATTAGGCTGTGATTGGTGTGCGGCAGCGTTTTGGCTCCTTTATTCACCATTGCCTTGCAATCATCAAAACTCACCACACAAGCTTTTATCTACACACACAGAGGCGTCTGGGAGGAGAACACCGACCAATCAAACACAACTCCCAGCCTGCACCGGTTCCTTCTCCACAGTAGGGTAAGTAAAGGGCCCTGTGTTTTACATTAGTGCAAAAATTCAGACAAAATTATTGCCTGCTTTTGCTTGTATTGTTCACTTGGTTTAAATTTGGTAACATAATAGCCAGCACTTCAGATTCAGAAACTTTTACTGTCTTCATCTTGACCAGATTTAAAGAAGCAGGTTGTCAAAAAATTAAAATGATCTCATTATGTACTCATTATTTACATTACTTATCCTCATGTTGGGGGTGTCATGAAAATAATAAAATGAAATAAAATATATGATGGACAAACATAAACTTATAAAAAGTAGAAATGTTTATCTGGCAATTAACTGAATTAAAATAGGTTAAAGTCGAAAGCAGTGTTATTTTAGTATCATTGAGATATTACAGATTTGTATTTATATTTTGAATTTGTTATTATTTTTGTATTTCTGTTTTTATTTTCATTTTAAAATGTTGGTAAATTTGTTGTGCTTTTTTGTAATTGCATGTAGTTTTTTAATGTCTTCACTGATTGATTGATTTTATTTCAGTTTTAGTTATTTTAGTACATCAAGTTAAACTAAATGAAAATTAGAAATATTGCCTTGGCTACCTAAAATTATATATTTTATTTTAGTTAAAGTTTATTTTGCTTCACTTGGTTTTATTTTCAGTTTTTGTTAACTTTAATAACCCTGGTTTAAAGTACTAAAATTACTAAACGTAACACTGAAATAAAATCAATTAAATCTAAAAAAAATAATAATAATTATATATATATATATATATATATATATATATAATCTATTAGGGGAAAACACATATTGTGCATTACTATACGAATCAGTTATTTTCGAATATAATGGTTCAGATCAATTTCAATCGTTGTAATGTGAATTGTATACATTATTATACAATTTTTTATATTTAATGTAAATGCACAAAAAAATTTTAATACATTAACTGGAAATGTTGTGATTTACATTTATTTACATTTACATATTGAACAACTGTAATGTACAATATTGGGCTTTTCGGGTATAGTATTATATCAGTTTGAATGTAGGGTAATAACATTTTTTAAATAACAGTACATATATATATCTATAATACAGGCATACATTTTATTCACATCTCACTTTTATTATCTGTGTGTTGTTGTTGTCTCAGTGTACTGGAAGTTTGTGACACTATAACAAATTCCTTGTATGTGCAAACATACTTGGCAATAAAGCTCTTTCTGATTCTGATTACATTTTTTTTTTACGTGCATTTATTAACAAGATCAAAATACATGTATATGACAAACACTATACATGATATAAACAATAAGCATTATACATGAAATAAACAATTTCACACTAGAGGGGCTGTATACAAATACAAATTTGCGCGACTTTCGGACTTAATTAGTGTCGTCTGTATTTGATGACGTCGCAGGGCGTTACAAATAATGACCGATTTTCTTTTTTTTTCTTTTTTTTTTCTTCAGACGTTTGCAAAATATTACATACATTTAGATTCTTAAAACCCCATCCTCTGGGGGTAAAATAAAATTGTATTTATATTTATATAATATTTATTTATTTATTTAGACATTTATAGGCCTATTTATTTAGACATTTATAGGCATATCTTTTTATCTTCTGGATCTAATATGGTTCTGATGTGTTGAGCCTTCTATATGTCACTAAAATATGTTAAGTGAGCCTGTACAGATATTCCCTGCTCAATGAACAGGGAGCAGAGAGCACTTCGAAGCACATTCGTTCATTTCTAATTATGATTGAAATCAAAATCAGTGACAATCCTTCAGGTAATGTAACATTTCAAAGAAAGAACAAACACAATTTTCTCCCCAAATCTATGACCTTTTAAAATGATGTAACTGTCGGCTGCACAGCACATTCCTGTTCTCTCCTGCATATTCAGTGAAATCTGTTCATCGATTGTTTGTACATTGTTTCCTGCTCTGCAGTGGATCTCAGCTCTCCTACACTTTCACTGAACGCACTGTGACCCTCAGCTGTTTATTTACTGGATAAAAGGTTTATTGATTCTTGGACTTGATATCATGCTGTGAGTGAATCAATTGTGTAGAGATGTTCCATGTATTTGTCTGATTTAATAAGACTTATTTTCACTTGCAGAATGTCCAATTATTGGTATCTGAATTCTTATTTTTACTATATATAAAAATAGTCTTGAAATGAAAGCAAAATGTGCGGCAAGATATACTGAATGAAGACGACACTGTCACTTTACCTCTAAATTGCAGTACACTTCAGTGTCCACTCTGTGGCAGTCTGTGTGTATTCCTGATAGCTTGCTATAAGGAAAACAGTCAATAAGGAAGAAGGTGGCTTTTCAAATATCTATTTTTAAATGTTCACAGATACATTTTCAAATGATGTGCACTGATCTTGTGTCAAACAGCACTGTTGCTATACATATGTATGTCAACTAGCAGTTGTAACTGTCAATAACCTTTGTCTCATTCATCTGGCTAATGCATATTTATTATATTTTGTGATGTAGGGTCCAAATCTAAAGCCACCTGTCTGGTGGGTTATTTTGAGAATATTCAGTCATTAAAATTTGGGTATGAATAATTTAGTTTTTGTTTTTCCACAGAGGAGAGTGAGAACAGGGTGCATGCAGAGGAGAAGTGGCCATGTGAGCACATTGGTAATGTGTCCTTGTGCAACTCTGTGTCCAAAAACCAAGGAAGTGAAGAAGATGAGATCATCAGTACTCCACATGTCTCTCTTGACGGTGACCACACTGTGAGTGTTTGAAAATACTGTCATTATTTATTTGTGACAGACTTGCAGTTAACTATTGTATGTTAATTCATTTATTAGTGTGTGATATCAATGTCACAAAACAGTAGATGCTTTTTACCCATGAATATTGCAAGCCCTGATTTTAAAGAAAACCCACTGTAAGAGTAAATATCAGTTTAAAATGGATATTGTCCTGGCAGAAAATTACCAGTACATTTTGTAATCAAAAAATCAAGTCCTTAAGTGTTTAAGTGTAATCTGAGAGTTTTTAAAAAAAAAATTTTTAAAAATAATTTACTTATATATAATTTATATTTGTATTTTTTAAGATCAGTTTTCTCATGCTTGATGCATTATTCAGAAAAAAATATACAATTATATTTTCAAGTGTCCAGCATAATTAAAATATTTTGTTATCTAAAGGTTTCATTTGAGGTCAATTAAATTGTGTATTTATTATTATTTAATTATGTCTATTTACATTGTTCTTACCTTGTGGATTACTGTAGTGAAGAGACTGTATGAGGACTGGTTTCTACAGTCAAAACAGATGACAAAACAAGGATGTAGGTGGGGTTAACAGGTTAATCGTACTGATTAATGTGACATTATCCAGTGTGAAGTGGACAGAAGGAGATATCCAGCCTTATGGAAGCAGGATAGACTGTCCTGACTGGACAGTTACTCTTACTGGAGCTTTGTGTGCTCTTTTGGGTGTGGTACTGAGGTGCCACTTCTTCCTCATGGGCGACTGAGTGTGTGACCAGAAATCATGTGGCAGAAAATAGGTGGGTGGAGCACCTACTGCCTATATTTGTATTTCATGTGCTGGTGTATGCGCTCTTGTTGCAAACTGTGGATTAAAATCAAGTAAACATTACAAAATCCAAAATGGAAAAGAATGAAGAGGCTAAAAAGAATGTAAAGGCAGGATAAAAGGACCAAGCTGCATGCTGGCACTATTTAGAATGTCGTTGCGGAATGTTTTTTTTTTTCTTTCTTTCCATTTCTTGAGCTCTCCTGTAATGAGAGACTGAGAACAGCATCTCTGCTTTTTAATGGACATTTTCCTGGCGTCCGTAATTCTGGAAACTTCATGTAAGGACAACATATTACACTAGACCTAAACTAAAATTATTTTATTAAAACAGAACAGTATTTCAAAACAGTAAAAGATAATATATGGAACTTATTCATATTCATAATTTGTCAGCACAAGGACCGGAAATTCAGAGTTGGCTAGCCTTGGGAAGGCTAATGGAAAGAACCTAGACTTTTTGTAACGGCAAACATGGACACTTCAGTTTTAACTCCGGAGATTTGAATTTTGACTTTGCTACCTGTTTTATTCACTTGTGGAATATGGTTGTTTGAATACAGACAGACTAAATTTGGTCTTAAAGAGGCAGTAGACTGTACCGGAAGGAAATGGAGAGTAAGCCCAGTAATTCATTTTTGGACAAATTAACAAACTTTTTTACTCACCATGAAAAGCATGAACTCCAAACACAGACTGAGGAGAATCCAAATGTGACTTCTTTTCAGTCTTTGACTGAGAAAGGAGATGCTAATGATCAACAAAAATGTGTTCAAAGGCAGGATGGCATCGATGATCAAGGGGATGATTTTGATATAATTGTTAAGACTTTACAAACAAATGCTGAGAAAGACAGAAAAAGGGACCATGTCGACAGTTCAGAGCATCAGAATGTCAATGAAGCGGATGAAATAGATTTTTCTTCAGAAAAGGAGGAAGTGGACTTGGACCTGAATGTTGACCACCCGAGAGATAATTACAATAAAACATCAGCAGCACGCCAGACTGACCAGGACGTAACAGATGGTCAAGCTGACACAAAGTCTAAATCACTTTACGAGGTCTCAGCCAGTGACAATGCTAACAGACTGGACAAACAACTTGAGAACCCAGCACTCATTACAGTGCATAATAAAGAACCTGATTTCAGAGAAGGATCTTTATACAGGGATGAAGAGTTTGTTTCAAAAAGCAATGATAAGGATATGAGCAAAAACAGACTCAAGCAGGACATATCTGAAAATGAGACCGTTGTTATGGAATCAGGTAATGTCACCAATGAGGAGCTTTTTGGTGTTGTGCAAAATAAGAGAGAAGAAGGCCACATAGAGGAAACCAGCAGCAGCAAAGAAAAAATGAAAATATTCAGAGAGAACACTGAGAAAGAACCATTGAAAGACAGAGTCTGTCAGGATGTCCTCACAGACACTAAAAGTACAAATATTCCCTCTGACAGAAACAATCTGACTGAATTTTTAATAACAGAGTCTTTGAACTCATCCACAAATAACAATGACTTTTCAGTGCAAAGTCAGCAGGACGTATCTGCTGCTGAGAGCAAAATAGAGCGTGATGGAAATCATCAAAACACTGCAGATGTTCAAGAGGTAACCAGAACTGGTGCAAATGAACAAACTCTGATTAACGACCACCAGACATCCACAAACATGGATATTCAGACCACATTAACACATTGTGAAGTTAAAAAGGTTCTTTCTTCAAACTCACCTGCGAACACCAGAACTGTAGTCATCACCCTAACACGTGTTGAAGATCTTTCTGCAGGATTATGTGTAGATACTGAAAAGATCCAGTCGAGAGATGAGACTGTTGGTGAAGCTACATTCAATAGAAGCAGTGCAGAATCAGACAGCAAGTTTCTGCAGATGTTCCAGAGGTAACCAGAACTGGTGCAAATGAACAAACTCTGATTAACGACCACCAGACATCCACAAACATGGATATTCAGACCACATTAACACATTGTGAAGTTAAAAAGGTTCTTTCTTCAAACTCACCTGCGAACACCAGAACTGTAGTCATCACCCTTACACGTGTTGAAGATCTTTCTGCAGGATTATGTGTAGATACTGAAAAGATCCAGTTGAGAGATGAGACTGTTGGTGAAGCTACATTCAATAGAAGCAGTGCAGAATCAGACAGCAAGTTTGTGGAGGTCCATCCACCTGCCACAAGCCAGAACAACCAAATGAAACATTCTGAGACTGGAGGTGAGATTTCAGAAGATTCTGGCCTCTGTGACACTGAAGAACACAGTTCAACTGAGCTAGATAAATCAGAACCAGAACCTGTGACCATACAGCTAGAGGAACAGGTGATAAAAGTGCATACAGAAGAAGAAATGAATAAAGAGAATGAAGAAGAAATAATACAAGAAGAGACTGTGTTAGATACAGATTCATCTTTCACTGAGAAGACCACAACTGACCAAACCCCCAAAGCAGTAAAAGAGAAACCCCTCCAACTGTCGTCCCTCTTCACCGGGCTGCTCAGCCCCAAGAAAGAAGCCCTTGAGGAAAAAGACACTCCAGAGCAACCCCAAAGCCCTGCCAAAAAAGGACTTTTTACCGATCAGTCTAACAAGAAAGAAGTCAAGGGAGACTTCCTAGAACAGCTTACCCAATTCCTCAGCAAGGGGGAAGGGAAGAGAAAGCAAGAGAGCATGACAAGCCCCCCACTGTCTCCAATCAGTCAGGAACCTGCAGAAAAGCCAGAGACAACTGTAGAGGAGCCGGCCGTTCTCCAGTCTGAGGAAACAAACAAATCTACAAATGCAGAGACGGCCTTAGGGGCATTGAAGGCTTTCTTCGCAGTTAAATCTGCCAAAAAGGACACTTCAAATCGCATGGACCTGGACACTGTAAAGAGGAAGATCAACAGGGACAAAGACGTCCTCAAAGCCTTCTTTGATAGAACCTCAAGCAAGTCTCCAGACAACAAAGAAACTACTGATTCCAAAGTATGAAGTGAACAGATGATTGCATTTGATGGTAGCATCTCAGTATCAATACACGTGAAAAGCCTTGTTTTATGTGCACCAATGAAGTGTAATCATTTTAGTTATTTTATTTTAATAGGCTCTTTATTTCAACATATTTAAATGGTACAATGCACATTAATTGTGTCTTATAGGCTGAAGTGAGTGAGGAGCACACTCCTAAGCGACTTCAGACTGTTTGGCCTCCAACAAAACCCAAAGACGAAGAGGAAAAGATTGGTCTAAAATACACTGAAGCAGGTAAGGGCTTATTGTATAATCAGAAACAACAGCAGTAAGTGTAAATGTTTGCTCTGATTCCAATATTTGCCTTAGTATCTAATGACACAACACTGTCCAAACAAATTCCAATACACCTCCACCCCAAATGTGTTCCTAGGGCTGTTCTACTGATGAAATGACTCAATGTCACACTATTTCTTATTTGTAAGTCTAAATGTTTTCTCAGTAATGCAGTCACTAGTCTTATGCCAAATGTGTGCATTCAATACTATATAGTTTTATAATAACCCTCATTGAGCATCAGTTCCATTGCCCATATTGCAGTGTCTTATAGATTTAAAGGGTGTGCAGTCCACAGCCACACCTAAAAAGCACACAGTCAGAATGGTGTTGTCATATATCTTGGTATGATTATACTTGAGGAAATTAGTTCTCTTACATAAAACAGTTTTCCCATGGTTCTCTAGACAAGGCAGTGATCATCCATTTATAACAGTCCCACCACTGCCATCTATTGGAAATTCTTACATCTGCAACATTTATTGGATATCTAATTCTTAATCCCATTTATGATAGAGTAAGATATTTTTTCAGCAAGGATGCATTAAATTGATTACAAAATAAGCAAGTAATACATATAATGTTACAAAAGATTTATATTTCAAAAAATGCTCCATAAACATAATTAAGCAGCACTGTTTTCAATATTTTGTATTTATGGCACTGGAGACTGGAGTAGTGGCTGCTGAATATTCAGCTTTGCCATCTCAGAAATTAATTACATTTTAAAATATATTAAAATAGAAAACATTTTTTATTGTAAACAATAATTCACAATGTTGCTGTTTTACTGTATTTTTGATCAAATAAATGCAGCCTTAATGAACATAAGAGGTGTCTTTGAAAAATGTTTATAAATCTTACCATACCCAAATTTTTGAATGGTATAGTGTATACATTCTTATTATTCTATATATTTACATATATTATGTGGTAGAGCTTTGATTTATCGAGTTTCTAGAACTATTCAATGGGTTTTGAGATACATTTAGTCATGCCTTTGTTTTATATTCTCAGAGCATCAGGCAGCTCTTCTGCAGCTAAAAAGGGAATGTAATGAAGAGGTGGAGAAGTTACAGGTGAGAAGCTCAAAATGTTTTTTTTGTTTTTTTATCAGTTCATGCATCTCTGGGGAATTTTTTTTTTATGTTGATGTTTGGACTTTTTAATGCAGGCTGACTTCAAACGTGAGCTCTTCCAGTTACAAAAGAAGAATGAAGAGGATCTGTCCAGATTAGGGACAACCATCGCCAGCTTACAAAGAGAAAGAGACAGAAATCACAGAGATGCTGCTGTGTCCACTGAAGACAACATCGAGCCATGGTCCTTCCGCTCTGTATGTATTCAGACAGAAAGAGAGACAGTCAACAAGCCTGAGGAGGCCAAGGAAACCCAGAGCAGGGGTTTTGACCCCCTGCCTAAAAATGCTGACCTCAACTCAACAAAAAACTTTACTGGCAAACTAAAGTTACAGATGGATAACAACAATACTCCACCCCCTCCTCCTCCTCCTCCTCCTCCTCCTCCTCCTCCAACAGGCCCTTGTACTCCTAATGTACCTCCACTTCCTGCTCAGCCACTAGAGAGGCCAGGAAGTGTGCCTCCTCCACCACCTCCACCAATGACAGGAAGTGGTGTGCCACCACCTGTCTTCCACTCTGCCCCCCCTCCTCCTCCCCCTCCTCCTGGAGTTGGTATCTTCTCCAGTAAAGCGGCAGACTATCCTACTCGCAAGCCGTCAATGGAACCGGTCTGTCCAATGAAACCGCTGTACTGGACACGGATACAGATTCAAGATAACAGGTATCCCTTATCCCCTTACCTCATATTTTAATTGGCGCAGGTCAATAACATAGCAGTCCGTTTTTTGTTTGTTTGTTTTTTGCCTAATTGTCTTGATATAATGAAAAAACCTTACTAAAAGAATGAGTTCATTTTACGTTTTGTTAAAAAAAGTGAATAATATTTTAACAAATCTACTTGACTGCTAAGGCATGGTGCGATCAACATGCAGAAGCATAAAAAAAAACATAAAACTGGAAATTGTATGTTCAAGAAGCCCCCTCATGACTGCGTGTCAAGATCAAAAATCTCTGAAAATATCAGATACATTTTTAAAGTAGATTTTTAAAAGAATTTTTACACTTGTATGTCATTGACCCAAACACAAATATGTCAATTGTATTACTATATACTGAATACAGGTAAAAAGAGACACTTCTGATCATCCATCATCATTCACTCGCATTGTTTTAAGATATCATGACAAAGTGCTTAGCCACTGTCACAATCTGTAATCATTTAGTATCATTAATACAGTATTATAGTTTTTTTTAATTGATTTAGCTTTTATTTTTACATTTTTAGTTTTCATTTTATTTTTAGAATTTTTCACATTTGCTTTTAGTTTTTTTATATATATTTTATATAGCTTTATATAGCTAAATATTTTTTATATAGCTTCAGTTTTCTTTTATTTCAGTTTTAGTTTTAGTAATTTTTATACTTAAATGTAAAGTTATTTTATTTCAGTTAGTTGCCAAAAAAACATCAAATTTTTTTTACGTCTCAAAAGTTTTTCATGTAATATTTATATTTGACTTGACACATTTTTAAGAGTTTTAGTTAACAATAACAACACTGGCCATGCTTTTAAATAGCTCTTAACTGCTCTAAACTAAAAAAATAAAACCTTAAAAAAACACCATCCCACTCTACCTGTATTCCATATAAACATTTCCATTGTTCACCACTCATAACATTCCTCAACCACACAATGTATGTCCACAAGTGACGCTGACATTTTCAACTCTCCCTCGTCAGACCTCATGGGATGCTTAAGACAGACCACTGCAGACATTTGTCTGCTTGAGGGGCCAGCCACAGGCCGAGCGGCAGTCTTTCCAGGACCTCTAGTGGCGGTGTGGATTTCTGTGGGATTCAGCTCCCCGGCCACCTCTGTGCTGTTGCAATGTTATTTGACTCCTCATGAAAGCTTTCTGCTCTCTCCGTGAGCATTTTGTCAAGCCAAAGCCGAACCCAGTCAAGCTTAGCTATGCGCCGTCGTCCTGGCTCCTTAATTATTTTTATGGGAGAGAACATTTAGCAAATCAGATTACTCACATTGAGCCCCTGTTGATTTTACTTTTCCTGCTTGTAGGCATGCTTACCCAGAAACAGTAAATAACTCATTAACTTGGGTTTTTACAGATGCCAGTATTAGGAAATGCTTTGGTCGTGGCCTGTTCTGTGACTTTGAAGTGTGAAGATTCAATCTCGATAAGCCTTAATGTGAGCAAAACTGTTGAAAACGTCAAATATTGGAAAAACATAAAATCTCTCGTCATCTGTTTCTGTCTTTTCTAAGGAACAATATGCTATGGAGTTCCCTGGACGAGCCAGAGATAATAAACACCAATGAGTTTGCGGAACTGTTTGCTAAAGCCACGTCGCCCACCAAAAGAAAGCCCCTATCTGAAGCCTATGAGAAGAAAACCAAAGCCAGGAAGGTACCACTCTTGCCTGAAGATGAGAAAAATGATATGACATAGAGAGGGTCCATCCCATATTTATATAGCAAATGCGAGCATGTTGGTTTGATTGAACTAATTAAAAAAATGCACATGCACTTTAAATCGCTTTGGATAAAAGTGTCTGCCCAAATGCATAAATGTAATTCATTGCTCAAAGTGCATATTTGATAAGTGTCCACTAGGTGGAGCAGTTTTCAACACTTCCGAATTATATATATTACTGGAACACTAGCAGAAATTATGCATTCATGCATTCACCTCTGATAAGTACGTTTCTATAAACAGAAACATAATTTATCAGGTGCTGTCACTTGATAGAATCTGCCGTTTTTGATATAAATGCTTATGTGTAATATCAGGATCCCACAAATGCCTTTGAAATTGATATAATTATATAGGAAATGGGAATAATTTGAAATAAATGAACCTGTTTATGAAATGTGATCATGCCATTGTTACCTTTGGCAGGCGGATTTATAATGGAAGTTTGGAATTTCCCAAAGGTTATTTTGTTATTCATTCATTCCACTTTTGCATAATACAAGCATGAGTCTTTGCGACCTTGTATTCATATGGTAGAGTAAGCAGAATGCACTTAACTTATGATCTAAGTCATTTAGAAGTAAATGCTATTCTGTGGTGGGGTTTGTCTTGTGAACGTGGATTTTAGGTCATTAAATTACTGGATGGCAAGCGCTCTCAGGCCGTGGGCATCCTAATCTCAAGTCTCCATCTGGAGATGAAGGACATCCAGCAAGGTAAATCACACTGTATATATGCTGAGAAATACTGGACCACCAGCTCAGCAAAGTTATTCTATCCAGACTCATTTTTCCTCCACTAATAATAAACAGACATGTTAAAATGATACATATTTGTGTGGCCTGGATGGCGAAAGGCAAGCTAAGACATGATGTTGAAATGATTCTGTATATAGAGACATATCTTGCAACAATGTGATTGGCTCCAGCTCTTATTAGGAATAAATTGACTGTATGTTTGTTAAATAAACTTGTCTTGTGGTTTACCGCTAGAAATACTCTTTGGGTTCTCCACATTATGGTGTGTACATCAGTCCTATATTTTTCCCATTGAAAATCTTGAAGTCATCACAGTTTGGCTTAACAGAGTCAGACAGGCAGATGTTTATGATGACTTTAGTCAATTGAACAGTGAATTCCTTCAGGGGAAAAAAAGCTCTCAAATACATATTTAGCCACTTTTACATTCACTTATCACATCCATGACACACACGTGTCCAATAACTAATCAGTCTTCTTGTCTAGAGACTAATACTTCTTCCCTACACAGCTGTTTTGACTCTGGACAATTCTGTGGTTGACTTGGATGCTATTGAAGCCATGTATGAAAATGTAAGTATACTGCCACACTGGAAATTTACTTATGTACAGGCCCACACTGAATCCCAGCCTCCAAAACAGTAGTTTTGCACAAAATTTGAACATCCATCATTCACAAAGTCCTACATATCCTGCACCCCTTGCATGTTTTCTCTTTTGTGTTGTTGAAAATAGCAAAAATGGAGGTTACAGTGAAAGTGATTAAGGCCAATGTTTGGAAGATCTAAAAGCAGAAATGTGGAGATTATTATTTTATATGAAGCACATTAATTATTCTAATGTATTTGTACTGTGATATTAGGGTTTATGATGTATTTTCATCAGTTGTATAGAATTTTAAACAGAAAGGTCACTATAAAGTTTTTCCATCTTAAAATCATGGTAACGTGGCTATACTGTTGAAAGAGTGAATATTTGAATGTTTACGGATTGACCCCATTCACTTCCATTGGTAATGTCGCACTGTCACCCAGATTTCTGCTGGGTTAAAAAAAGGAGCTAAAAGGCTGAGATTAAATTTAGCTTAACTTGTAGGATATTCCTTCAAATATTTCCGATAATTAACATTTTTACTGTATTTAAGCATTTTACTGTATTTAAATTAGTGCTGTCAAACGATTAATCGCGATTAATCGCATCCAAAATAAAAGTTTTTTTTTACATAATATATGTGTGTGTACTGTGTATATTTATTATGTATATATAAATACAAACACATAGAGTATATATATTTTAAAAATATTTACATGTATATACATTTATATTCTTATATTTTATATTATGCATAAATATATTTAATATATAAACACAACATATTTTTCTTAAATATATACATGCATGTGTTTGTATTTATATATACATAATAAATATACACATACACACACATATATTATGTAAACAAAAACTTTTATTTTGGATGCGATTAATCACGATTAATCGTTTGACAGCCCTAATTTAAATCCATTCAACTCACATTTCTCAACAAAATCACTCCAGACAATTCACATAAATACTAGTTCCAGTTCCAACATAACTAAGTAATTGATAGTTCCTGTGTGGTTTCATAAGTTTATGTGTGTATCATTGGTCAGTTGTCTTATGAATGCGTCTGTTCTGTTTCTCCCAGAGAGCTCAGCCCGAGGAGTTAGAGAAGATTAAGAAACACTATGAAACCTCAGACAAGGAGCAGGTCAAACTACTGGACAAGCCTGAACAGTGAGATATTCCAGAAACACACCAGATAACTCACTTTTTCCTGCAACTAGCAAACTAGTGATACGTCAATTGTCACTTACAAGGGCACTTTTTTGCAATGTATACTTCTCTAAGGTTCCTTCATTTGAGGACAGACGAAGACAGAGTAGTGTTTTCAACACTACGCACTTTAGGTTGACAGATGTTCATTGCTTTTCCTTGACAGGTTCCTGTTTGAACTCTCCCAGATCCCTGAGTTCTCCAGTCGAGTTCACTGTTTAATTTTTCAGTCGAAGTTTACTGACGCTGTTGCCTCCATACAGCGCAAGACCGAGATTATTCTTCACGTCTGCAAGGTACAAAGGCACTTTTCAAAGAGGTCAGACCTCAGATACTATCAAACATTTGATAAAGTATCAATGCTGGCATTCTTAACAGTCAAAAACAGCCCTTCAGACAGCTTCCGTTTATTCAAGTGAGGTCTAAGTGCTTGCTTTGTCTCCTACATCTCCATTATGAAGAGTGATAAATTCATAAATAAATGGTGATGTGTTTTAGTATCTGTTGGAGAAAGACAGTGTGAAGGAGGTGATAGGACTGGTGCTTGCTCTGGGAAACTACATGAATGGAGGCAGCAGAGCTCGAGGACAGGCTGACGGCTTCGGGCTTGAGATTCTTCCTAAGCTTAAAGACGTCAAGAGCAGGGTAACCTTTTTCTCCATTTCATGAGCCCGTGTTTGACACTGTGAAAGCACACAAACACACTGAGGTGTTTGATAGAGCCTTGTTTTTTCTGTTTGTACGAGGTGATGTATGCTTTTGACATAATTCTTTATAAATCTGCAGGAAAATCCCATTAGTCTGTTGGACTACATTGTTTCCTACTATCTGCGTCACCTTGATCAGGTAAACCATGAACGTGTAATTCTTCACATGCAATGATATATTTTGCACAGTACAGATCTGCACACTTCTTCTGGTCACATTATTTTCAGGGTCAATGACTCATTTTTCTGTTAATTAATTTCTGTTAATTTATTCAGTGATACGTGAAAAATGCAATTTATACAATGACTGGAATATACTAAAATGCAATGTTTTTCATTTCTAAATTAAAAATAATTTAGATTGAAACAACTGTCAGGGTGCTCTCATAATGATATCAAAATGAAGAAAAAATGTTTATTTTATTTTATTAAATTTATTTTTTTCTTAAAAATGGTATTAAAGGTTTTTAAAACCTACATGAATAAAAAATAAATTACACTACTGTTCAAAACTTTGGAATAAATATGATTTTTTTTTTTTAATTTTGGTGGAGGGGGGACGTTTTATACGATAAATGACACATTAGATTTATCAATTTATAATGTTAAAAAATATTTCTATTTAAAATAAATGCTGTTCTTTTGAACTTTCTATTCATCAAAGAATCCTGGAAAAAATATATATAATTCCACAATATTCCACAAAAAATGTTAAGCAGCACAACTTTTCAACTTTGATAATAATAAGAAACGTTTCTTGATCTCAATCAAGTCAGCATATTAGAATGATTTCTGAAGGATCATGTGACACTGAAGACTGGAGTAATGATGCTGAAAAATCAGCTTTACCATCACAAGAACAAATTACATTTTAAAGTATATGAAAATAAAAACAGTTATTTGAAGTTATAATAATGTTTCACAATATTACCCTTTTTATTGCATTTTTGATCAAATAAATCCAGCCTTGGTGAGCATAAAATACTTCTTTTAGAAATGTTTTTTGAATGCTGGGGTAAAAACTTGACACATTTTAATATAGATTTGTAAGTCTTGTCTTTATCATGGACACCTAAATATGTCACTGACCCTTAAATCTCTCTTCAGAACGCTGGGACAGAAAAGAGCATCTTTCCTTTGCCCGAACCTCAAGATGTTTTCCTGTCCTCTCAAGTGAAGTTTGATGACCTCTCAAAGGATCTCAGGAAGCTGAACAGAGACCTGACAGGTAAGAATTAGCAAAAACACTTTTAGCATGCCACTGATTTACTCTAGCATCAAAAGAAGCAAGATTACATGGGTTTGAGTGGATGGATGGCTACAATCCTGCAACATGGCTCCAGCTGAATCCTGAGGACTTTACAGCATCTGTTAGCAACAACTCATTATTAAACCACATTAGATCAGGTGGAATATACAGACATGTTTGCGTATGTACATGTCTGTGGAGACAAAGTGGAGTCTGTGTGGTTTTGCCCTGGCGCCTTTTAGATATGACTTTAATCCCGCCCATCAGATGCTTTTGGCATTGTGTGATTCTTTAGCTCCGTCGGAGGGGCCAAAGGCTACAGTGCTTTGGCGCTTATGTAATCTGAGAGAAGAGCAGCTTATCGCTGGCGGGATGGGCTTAATCTGCACAGAGATGCACTGCCGTTCTCGTGCTACACTGTATCAGTCCGAGTTCAGTGTGGCCCTGCAGATGTGTGTCAGAGATTCTTTTCTTTACCTCTTAACAAGCTTTTCTTATCGGGCGACGGAGAGACTGCCAAATCTGGCCCATCGCGCTCTCCCTTTTTTTCCCCTGCTGTTTGAACTCCCCTCATGACTGCGAGAGAATCGTGTCTTTGTTTTTTTGTTTTTGTGCTGTGTTTGTTTGATTTTTGGTGTCTTGTGTGCATTACTTACGGCCCCACTGAGGTTTTGGCTGCTCAAGGTGACCGCATTTGTCTGCGATGCTATGTTGCGGAGCAAGAAAGTGCTGCACTAATCAAATTAGTCACTGTGTGCCTACACAAAAAGGGAATGTCCCTGTGATTTTATTTTCCAGAGACAATTATGACAACATTGTGAAGCACATCTAATGCTCTCAGTCTCCACAGCTGATTCATCTGGTTTGCGTTTGAGACATCTTTTTGATCTCTTTGTGATTGTGGTTTGGCTCGCTGCGGTGCACAGTTGAGAAAACGTGAATGTAGCTGTGAGCCGCCTTGGCGGAAACTACAGTACATATATGAGAACCTAATCAAGCTAGACTTTAATGAATCGATATTTCTCGTAGAAATGCTGTGGGAAAGACACTCGACTTCTTCGTCATTGCCAGCCGTGTTCACAGTTTACACAAATGCTTAATGAAAACAGTAGTGTGTGTAGCCTTATCTGGAGTGAGATGCAGATGGAGCGTGTCCAACAGTCCTGGCTTCCCATCAGGTTGTATTATGACTGGGGCAGGAGACTGGCTCCTCTGATCCTCTGATTGGATGGTGAACAAAGGTCCACGGGTGGCACAATGACTATCTGAGGATGCAATCAGAGGTGCATCAAAACAGATCTTACCCAGAGAAAAAGACATTTGATAACCTCTGACTCTGCCACAGGTGGAGCTTTAGCTCTATTGTGTTTTCTTGTTCATTGGTTAGAGGCAGTAGGTTAGTAACAAGTGCAAACAAAAAGGGTTTAAAGGGGTAGTTTACTCAAAAAAAATGTAATTCATGACATTTCAAACCTGTATGACATTCTTTCTTCCATGGAGCACAAAAGAAGAGTGTTTTGTTTTGTTAATTCAGTGAAAATCACTGGGGTCCAGTCTTGTTTTGGACCTCGCTGACTTTAATTGTAGATGCGAAATAAGTTTTAACATCAAAGTAAGAAAGTCATACAAGTTTGGAATGATGTGAGGGCGAACAAATGATGACTGTATTATCATTTGTTTATAGCACAAGAAAAATAAGGCAATTACTCTACTTAGCTCGTCACAATTAGGCTGATATGTCAAGATATATACAGTGCAATATCAACATACCTACAGTAGAATGCTGTCGCTCAACTTGTTTTCAGACTTCAGATATTCCCTCATGTTACACATTTTCACATTAACCGCTCATAATCAAAATCAGTTTACTGTAATCATTGTTTTTACAGATGTGATCGGCATAATTCACCGCAGTGATGTTGTAATTAGGCACTAACAGACTTTGCTTTATCAGCAGAAAACGCTTTCATTCCATCTGCAAGTAATCAGCGATGTGCTAATAGCTTTGACCACAGTAGCTGTGATTTTAAATGGCTTGATAAAGCCAACTTAAGCTGAGGTTGTGAATGATTGTTGATTCCTGGTTAAAGAAAAAATGCAATCGTCACCCACCTAGAATATGGCAATAGTGACATACATGGTTTTAGTAAAAATTGTATTGGTTTCACCAATAATATATTTTGAAATACAAGGCTACATTTATTTGATCAAAAATCTAGTAAAAACATATTAAAAACAATATATTCATTTTGAAATATTATAACAAGTGCAAACAAAAAGGGTTTAAAGGGGTAGTTTACTCAAAAAAAATTTAATTCATGACATTTCAAACCATGGAGCACAAAAGAAGAGTGTTTTGTTTTGTTAATTCAGTGAAAATCACTGGGGTCCAGTCTTGTTTTGGACCTCGCTGACTTTAATTGTAGATGCGAAATAAGTTTTAACATCAAAGTAAGAAAGTCATACAAGTTTGGAATGATGTGAGGGCGAACAAATGATGACTGTATTATCATTTGTTTATAGCACAAGAAAAATAAGGCAATTACTCTACTTAGCTCGTCACAATTAGGCTGATATGTCAAGATATATACAGTGCAATATCAACATACCTACAGTAGAATGCTGTCGCTCAACTTGTTTTCAGACTTCAGATATTCCCTCATGTTACACATTTTCACATTAACCGCTCATAATCAAAATCAGTTTACTGTAATCATTGTTTTTACAGATGTGATCGGCATAATTCACCGCAGTGATGTTGTAATTAGGCACTAACAGACTTTGCTTTATCAGCAGAAAACGCTTTCATTCCATCTGCAAGTAATCAGCGATGTGCTAATAGCTTTGACCACAGTAGCTGTGATTTTAAATGGCTTGATAAAGCCAACTTAAGCTGAGGTTGTGAATGATTGTTGATTCCTGGTTAAAGAAAAAATGCAATCGTCACCCACCTAGAATATGGCAATACATGGTTTTAGTCAAAATTGTATTGGTTTCACCAATAATATATTTTGAAATACAAGGCTACATTTATTTGATCAAAAATCTAGTAAAAACATATTAAAAACAATATATTCATTTTGAAATATTACATTTTAAAGTAACTTTTCTATTATATAGTAATATATTTATACAACTACTATACTGTATTCATGTGATGGCAAATCTGAATTTTCAGCATCTATTACTCCAGTCTTCAATGTCACATGGTCCTTCAGAAATCTTTACTGTGAGTTTTGATCAATTTAATGCGTCCTTGCTGAGTAAATGTATTGATTTCTTTCAAAAGAAACCATTAATGCCTAAATAACAAATTTTTATGATTTGTAAAATAAAATATTGGTTACATTTTAGCATATAAGCAGTTTAGTGTTGTGATTAGAAAGAATTTCACTGTATTTGCAGTTTGCTTTTACTTGGCATTTGAAGTGTCCTATACCAGATGTCTAAAACATTGCCAGGTAACTGCCATTAATGTAATATAAATGCACACTTTATTTTAAATCACCTTAGTGAGAAGGCATCTGCAAAGAACATAATCTTCTAGCTTCATTGTGGCATTTATACTTCAAAATCAGGGTTATTGGAATAAAAAGTAAGCACTCATGGTGGTCTAACAGAAAAAAATCGGACTGTTTATTTTTGGCTAAAAAACGTTGTTTTACAATGAATGACTTCTTCAAATTGGATCTGGTCAGGGACTTTACTCTAACCCAATGTTATTGTTTTTGTCTCGTACAGTTTGTGAAAAGGATGTCTTAACTGTGTGTACCAACTCATCTCATGAGCACGTACATCCCTTCAAGGAGAAAATGGACTTTTTCATTGGCAACGGTAAGCTATGCTAAGATGCGTGCGATTAGCCCACGTTTCCTTTTAGAAGAGGATCTGTATTCGAAGTTTTTAAGCCTTCTATTTATGTGCTCTGTCACATCAGCCAATCCCTCTCGTCTACCTTGTTCAGATATGAAGTCTCGTTGATCTCTGAGACGACCTGCCTCTCTAGATGATTGATGGAGAGGAGAACAAAAGTTTGCTTAGATTGTATACAGGATTGTTTTGCAGATCATAGAGGCAAGACATAAACTTGTCGTCATTTACTACAGTTCAGCTAGACGAGACAACGCTAGCTGTTAGTGAACCAGACAAATATTTATTCTGTTTGTAGTTTATGTATGTATTTATATACATGTTTATGTTATGTACATAGCAGCAAAGCTTTTCCTTTCCTCACATTATTCCTACTATAATTATTTGATTGTCTCCGCTACACAGATAAGACGGCACACATCCTGCAGTCATGAAGAATATCTGCCATGTGCTCTTTTGGGGGACCTGATAAGTGTCTGTAACTCCGTACCTGTACGAGATAGCTGGTCAGGTTCAGAAGACAGACGCAGAGATAGAAATCAGGGAGACTTTGGCAATGAAGGAGACTTCTTAGTAAAGGAGTTTCAACATTGTCTTTGAGGCCCTTGTAGAAAGGCTATGAATGATATGACAATATTGCTGTTAGTATTATAACTGACAGAGTGGTGCATTATCGCTGTTAAAGAGGACAGATGAAGACCCTGAAGTAATAGAAGAGATATTGGCACTTAATATTGACTGTGGTGCTGATTATGATATAATCAAAATTCAAAATTGTTGATATAAACTTTTCATTTTACAGCACAAAAAGAGCTAATTACTGTGGAACATCAAGTGATATCGGCACATAAAAGGTAGCACATCACTCTTGTTCAAAATATTACAAAAAGTGCAAACTTTGTAAACATTTTTGGCATTATCTCCAGCTTTGCCTCATGACTTTCCTTTCTCAGCTTCTGTGACCTAGTGGAGTACTTTGGACTGAAGCCACGTTCTGGAGAGCCAGAGATTTTGCCTGGCCATGTTTTCACACTTTGGTTTGAATTCTGCAGTGATTTCAAGATCAGGTGGAAGAGAGAGAACAAGGTCATATCCAAACAGAGGTGAGAAGTTAACAGCATCTTGAGCATCTAGCATCGTATATAACAGCTCTGACCAAACCACACAGTGTGATAACCTAGGTAATGATGACTTCTTCACTGGCGGTTGTTGTTTTGAGTGATTTTCAGCATTAAAACTGGCTGGAATTGAAACTTTGTGGTTAAGTAAAATACAATCTCTGCTCTTTTTGATTTCAGAATCAAAGAGGCCCAACAGTCAGTGCGCAACATGACAGCAGAGAAAAAGATTGAGACCAGAAGGGCACATGCGAATGGACTGGTAAGAGTCTGCTGAGGTGTGGGTGGCAGATAGATAAGCGGTTCAAACACTAGTAACTATTGTACTTTCAAGAATCAGGTTTTTAATCCAGACACTTCTTAAAGGAATAGTTCACCCAAAAATGAAATTTTGCTGAACATTTACTCACCCTCAGGCCATCCAAGATGTAGATGAGTTTCTTCATCAGAACAGATTTGGAGAAATTTAGCATTACATCACTTGCTCAACAATGGATCCTCTGCAGTTAATGGGTGCCGTCAGAATGAGAGTCCAAACAGCTGATAAAAGCATCACAATAATCCACATGACTCCAGTCCATCAGTAAATGTCCTGTGAAGTGAAAAGCTGCGTGTTTGTAAGAAACGAATCCATCATTTCAGCTTTTAACTTTAAACTGTCGCCATAATCCATAAAGTTGAACGTTTCAAATTAAAAGGGCTTAACCATTTATTTGTTTTATACAAAAACAGCTTTTCATGTCACAAGACATTTATTGATGGACTAGTCATGTGGATTTTTGTGATGTTTTTATCAGCTGTTTAGACTCTCATTCTGTCAGCACCCATTCACTGCAGAGGATCCATCGGTGAGCAAGATGTAATTATAAAGTTCTCCAAATCTGTAGAAACAAACTAATGTACAACTCAAATGGCCTGAGGGTGAGTAAAGTTTTAGCCAATTTTTTATTTTGGGGTGAACTATTCCTTTATACTACATAATGCATGCACAGCTAAATGGGACTTCATAATGATGCATATTTCTGCGTATTTCAGAAAGAGAGACTGCGTCTGAAAGAAGCAAGTCTGACCACCAGCTAACCCCATCTGCCATTACCAAAGAGGACCAGATACGTTTATGTTTAAGACCCAGGCACTTGCATTTTGGCAGGGTCAGAATAAGGTGCACCTGCTTGTGTGACACTTTTCCTCAAGACTGCAAATTTAGAAGATGACAACCTGTCTGTCAGTGTAGTGGATCCCATTCCTGTGTATAACCCAACAACCAATGGCTCACCAAAAATTCCTTTGACCATGTTTCAGATATGAATGAATGCTGCTCAAAATGAGAAATATTTAAGAAATGTTTATATACAAGTTAGCTCGATCTGTTCTGGGATTTTCACCAGTCTAAACAATTAAGGGTTGAAAAAGCAGTCTCAACATTCGACTTGTAAAAGGCAGTAACTTTATTTTGTATATTGAGTAACAAAGTTTAGTCACTTTTTATGCTCATATTAAATCATTACAGAATATTAAAAAAACAAAGATAGTGTACATGTGAAATATTAATATTAAACTACCCTATCAGTTTTATTTGGATGAACATCACACATTTTTATTGATGACAGTTATGTTGCTTCATCACATTTTATTGCCATTTAATCACAGTAATATTGTTCCTTTTTTAATAAACTCAACACTGTAAAAAGTATTCATTAATATAAAAACATTTAACTTGTTTTCTGTAATGTTTGTTCACCTAGATTTTCTTTATCAAGTGATTAAAAAGGCAGAAACTTGGCACCACATTCTTTTTACATTGCAGTATGGTATAAAGACCAGGGGGAAAAATTATGGATTGCATTTGGGGGGGGGGGG